TATAATTTGCAGACACTTAGATTTAGCCCCTGTCCTTCATTAGATCTAATCTAATGAAGTAATTTCTTCATTGCAATCATACATCTGTCACCAAAAGTAAAAAATTTAGATTGATATGTGCATAGAATATGTTTTAAAAACATGAAAAGGATTTCTTTTTACACATCAGAAAAGTCAGCAGTTGGTTCGAATTTGTGAATCAAACTGCAATGTACTTTTTAAATTAACCTTAATATGGTCCTTCTTAATATATATAAGTAAACATTTTAATTAATCGTAATAAATGTCTACTACTTGTGCAAAAGCTGCAAAGTAATAAAATAATTATTTATTTACTAATGGATTATTTAGTATTTTATCTCCTTTCATAAAGGTAGTTAGAATTCTATTGAAATGGTAAAATAAATATTTATTTAATAATGGATTATTTAGTATATTATCTCCTTTGATAATAGTAGTTAGAATTCTATTGAAATGGTAATAAAATAATTATTTATTTAATATTGGATTATTTAGGATATTATCTCCTTTGATAAAGGTAGTTAGAATTCTATTGAAATGGCGCAACTTATAAGCATATTTAAAAAATGAATCTTGAAAAATTTTTAAATGAAAACATCAAAAATGAATCAAGAATAAATTGAAAATGTAATTAATAATTACTTGGCTTATTAATTACATTTTCAGTTTTAATTATACCTTTTTCAAAGTTTCCATTTTCAGTTTATTCTTAATTTATTTTAAAAATTTTCAAGATTCATTTTTAAATATGCTTATAAGTTACTTCATGGTTTGTTGTCACCCATGACTGTTACAACAGTTAACAGAGCTCATTGATCAAAGGATTATTAATTACTTGATGAGGTTATATAGTGTTTGTTGAGAATGATACAAGAGGTGGAATAAAATTGTGTAGTATTATTTTAGTCTATAATTTTTAGTTATTGCCAGTACAAATATCTTCTCACTGGAACACTGCATGGAGCAACAATATAGGAGAAATTTGTATTAATGGTTAGAAAAATCTCCAGAACACTTTCAGACACCTTGAAAAAATATACAGTTTGTCTTGCCGAGAATAAAGGACCTTAGATTTTAGCACTGTTTCAGATACTTTCAAAGTTTTTGTTTCTAAAAATAAAATCGGATAATGAATAATTCAACAAAAAAGTGAGAAGATTAGAATTTCAGAAGGAGCATCTTAACTTTATTAAAGATAATAAAAGTCTATTTTATTGGTTCATCAGGAATAGTAATATATCTGAGAATTTTGAGGGCAATGTTAATTGAGCAGCAGAGATAAATTCAGATAGAATTTGGGAAATTCTTTAAATTTATGTTATGTTTAAAAGAAGCACAACTTCTTAATTTTCTATTGATGAATGACTGTATTTTTCTTCCTAAACATTATTTGTAATTTGAATGATTACTTAAACTTCTTCAATTTAATCCAGGTGAAGGTTTAAATTTTAGTATTGATGTTCAGTAAATGTACCATAATAAGATGCATCACTCACATAAATAAGTAAGATAAGAAGCATTTTAAATTAGAATTTAAAATAAATGGTCTGCTTTCAGCTCACAGTATATATGCATAATGAGAAAGGCTAATGAATATTCTAATATCTGCTGCTATATGCATACTGTCAACGTTGTATGGAAAGATATAAAGGCCATTAAGATTTGAGAGGTTTGTATTTTGTTTTTAAATTTTTCAACTTGTTCTTTTTGATGAAAACAGTCATGATAATAAATTAAAAGGCAAAATAAACACAAGTATATGAAAATATACATGTGTGTGTGTATATATATGTAGTTTGCGAGTTTCGAGTAATCCTTTGTTCTTAAGTTTTATTTATGTAGTAAAAGCCTGTTTAAAATTTTGAAAATCTGAATACTCTTCTTATGACATATAAAAGAAAATGCGCATCAATAATGAATTTAAAATTAGGCAAAAATAAACTTTAGATGGACATTAGTTTGCTAGAAAAACTATTTCAAGGGAGATAAGAACACGGAATTTCTTCCTCAAGAAGCAAAAGTATTCTGTCTTGTAGGTTAGAAACTGTGTATAAGTGAAATGAATAAATAAAAGGAAGTAGCATTTGTATCATTTCCTATGAAACCAAATCAATTTAATATTGGCTTTAGCCTGATTTAAATTTTTTATATTGTTCAAATAAGCAACATTTACAAAATTTTGACGAGAGTAATACAATTAGCAATTCACTAAAGAATTTTCTCCTTTGTATTGATTCGTAATAAGCTGTAAAATACCAAAAAGATAGTTTGTACAAATATCTAACCGTTTTTAGAAATCATCACTAAAATTTTCATCTCTTCACTTTGTATTAATTTAGTTAGAGTTAGCGGAATAATACTACTTCCTTTGCCTTTACTACCTAACCTAAGTGGCATTAGTAGTGAGTATTATTATGAATTATTTCATCATTATAGTCAGATATATTTAAAATATATGTAAAATGTTAGATTTAAACTGTATTTAAATTATAATAAGTGTGTTATTCTAAGAATTTATTAATTCTCAGAATAATACAAGTTTAGCATCATGCAACTCCTCTAGAAGTCAGGTAGCTGAAAGTAATATTTTATAATGTTATGTTTTCAGAAAAAATTTCTGAAAATATATTCTTAACATGGATTATTGATTGAAGATCTCAATTTACAAAAATGTGTGAAAACAAATATTTCACACGTATGTTTAATGAATTTTAGAATGAAAAAAAAAAATATTATGCACAAGAAAAAGCAAATCAAGCATTTATCATTTCCATAAAAAATTTTATTTTTGTATTTTAGATTCTTCTAGATTCTCAAAATAATACATTTTTATGTTTCTAAGATCACATTTTTAATGCTTTAAAATAAGTATATAAAAGCATAAATTTATATAGTTTACAATTCTTTGGTGTATTGGTAGACTTGTGTTGATGTCTCTAATATATGTATATTAATGTGCAGTATAAGTTTATATAAACCTTTTTATGCATTTTCTTTTTTAAATCACTGCACTTCCACTTTTATGTTCCTCTGTCAAATGTACTACATATTCAGATGAGTAGATTTATTCAAGATAATTAGTTCTACAAATATTAATAATTTATTGTAAATAACTAAAATAATCAATGCTTGTATCTCTCGTTTTACACTGTAAATAGAAGTGATTTAATTTAAACTCAACTATTATATAACTATTGTACCTTTAGCTAGATAAAAGTGTTCTTGCACTGTGTGCGAGATAAAATTTCAATTCTTGTGGATAATATTAAAAAAAAAAAAAAAAAATCCCTAATTATGTTACAGAACAGAAAATGCTTTACATATATATATATATATATATATTATTGAAAAAGAAAATGTAAAGCGAACTGGTAATTAGATGAAAGACCTATCTGGTCTCAAAAACTTTTGCACATAATGCTGCAAAAAGATTTGAAAGAATAGTAGTAGGTAGGAACATTGCAGCAACCTTGCTAAAAGGTTACCAGGAGCTGTAGCTCCACAAAATGTTGTAACATAGTACTACATAGACAATAAGAAATTTGCCTGGAAAAACTGTATAAGCACGATAAAATTGCCAAATTTTAGTGCTGGAAGACTTGCTATTGCACGAAAAAATTAATTAATCTGACTGTTGTGTAATGTGAAAAGTTAACTCACATGAAAAAAAGATGGACGGAAAAGCCAACTGAGAGTGCGAGTGGGCTAATATACCATTCTTCCGCTATTTAATTATTGTTTTTGTAGCTAGTTTTTGATGCTTTTTGTGTCTTTTTATTATTTTTTTAATTTTGGTTTTAATTTTTATGTATTGGCATATTATATATTGGCAATTTTAATTTTAATTTTTTATGTATAAGCATTTGATATATTGACATTTATAATCCATGTTTTTGTAACTTACCTGTACTTTGTAACTTTGTATATATTTTTTCCGTCCATCCTTTTTTTCATGTGAGTTAACTTTTCACATTACACAACAGTCAGATTAATTACTTTTTTTCGTGCAATAGCAAGTCTTCCAGCACTAAAATTTGGCAATTTTATCGTGCTTATACAGTTTTTCCAGTTTCACCAGGCAAATTTCTTATTGTGTATGTAGTACTATGTTACAACATTCATGAAGCTACAGCTCCTGGTAACTTTTTAGCAAGGTTGCTGCAATGTTCCTACCTACTACTACTATTCTATATTATATATATATATATATATATATATATATATATATATAAAACTTGACAAAATCAAACAGGAAGTAAATAGAAGAATTTTATCATGATGCACAGAGTGCAAGATAGCATCTGGTACTGGCATGGACACCTAACAAGTGACAGTACAACTCTACCCAGTTTGAAACAGATAAAGCTAAATTTTTTCGTTCTGTTTAATCTTTTCTAGGATAATTGCAATGAAGGGATTTTTACTAAAAATATTTCAGAATTCAGAAGATACTTGAAGTAAAAATTATCAGAAATGTTTCATCCTAACATTAAATTCAAATTTTCTTCAATTTCAAAAAATTAGTCATCTTTTCAAATTAAAAACATTGATATTCATTTCTTTTTATTATTATCAATCCTCAACCCAAAAAAGATGTATGTGTGTTGTAATTCGTTTATGTAGCTGTAGAGATACAAAAGCATTAATTGTTGCAATCATTTACGCAGACTTGTGTAAAAAAAAAAAGGAATAAGTAAGTAAGTACTGCCTTTAATTTGACAGTTATTAAAAAACTACATTTGTTTGATGCTTTCAGCATTTCTAATGTGAACACTTTTGTGAACGACTTTTTCCCCTTTCATTATTGATGTATCAGTTTTGATAATATTTCAGTATTATGTATCGATTACTGATTTTGAAATTGCACTAGTTGGTTGTTCAAAATTTATAGTATTCTGTACATTGAGTGTATCTTGTCATAGTTTACATGTAGAATTGTTATTGTTGCTAAGTTTTAAATTTTATATTAAAAACTGTAAACAGATTGGATTTTTATTTTATTAAAAACTCTTTAGATGAAAAAATACACCCAGTTTTCATTCACATAGAAAAATTTCTAAAATAAATAGAAGTATATGACTAGAAAATATAAAATTTTAGATGTTTTGATATATTCAGTAGACAAGGCACATCAAACTTGTTGAATTAATTATGAGAGATTTTTAACTGTGTATCTTCATCATTAGTTTTCTTATACCTATGGGTAAGAAAAAAGAGCATTATTATTTTTTTAATGCTATGCCTATAAAATTCTTAACTAAGTTGATGCAGTAGGGAGTACTCATATATAAGCAGTGATTTCACTTTTTTGGATGTGAAAAAGAAATTCTTAAAATTTAAATCTAATTTAAAGAACATCTTAATAGTATTAATACTTCAAACTTAAAGAATAAAGTTTATATAATATATTCTGTAATACTGTAAGCTGATGAATGACTTGAGTAAAAGATAAAAATGCACATATATGTTAAAAATACAATAAACATTAAATACATCAAAATTTAAAAATTGTAACAACAGTGTTGTAAATTGTACTCTTAAATTAATAAATAAAGGTTCTACATATAAAAACTTATTTTTTACGACAACATTTTTAAAAAAATTGTTTTACAGTTATCTTAATTCCTATAATTTTAACTTCAAAATTACTTCAACCCTTTTAATATGCAAGTATGAAAAGTAATTTATATAAGTATTCAGGACAATTAGATAATACTGGTTTATAAATTCTATAACTTAAAAAATGTCTGCGTGAAACTTTTTTTTATCTTTTGAGGCTATTAACATTTGTACAGACATTAGGTTTTTATGGAGCCAGGAAATGTGAAGAATCAATTAAGCCCTCGCTGGAATTCAAATATGTATCTTCCAGTGCTAACTACTTATAGAATGCAAGGGGAAGTGTGATAATTCCTTATCTATTGTTTTGCTGTGTTAATTCTATCAATAATGAAAAATTATTTTTGATCCATGTCAACTCTGAAACTTATCCCAGTAATCCTAAATAATTTTTAAAGGAGTTCGTGCTGAAAATATGAGAAAATACCATAACTTTCATATCTTCTTCCCCCTTTGCAGATTAAATGCAGCATAAGTGAGATTCCCTAGGATTATTTTAATGCTAAAAATGCAAGAAATAATGAAACAGAAGCGAGGAGGAATTTTTAATGTGATGTGTTACAAAGTGGCTGTTGCAGTGATGGAAAAGACATAGCAATGCTGATAGCATAGAATGTGATTTTTGATACTGTTGTTATAGGAAGAGAGCAGAGCAGAATAATGCCCAAGCGGCAACAGAGATAGAAGCAAAAGTGCGCAATTATCCAGTATATAGACTCATCAACAAAAGGTTTTGGTTTAGGTTGCTGATTTGAAAAAGACTTCAGTTCTCAAAATTCCAGGTTCTTAGGTTACAAATTAGCTATGTCATCAGCATTATTCAAGCCATGTAACATAGACTGTTCTAGAAATGATGCAGTCCAGAAAAGTTATTTCTGTTACTGAGAGGAAATACCCAAATTTAAAATGAGGAATGAAGAGGCTATTACTAAATTAAAAAGCTGATTTTTGCATCATTTCTAGATCAATCTATATCACATAGCTTGCATAGTGCTGATCACCTAGCTAATTCAGAACCTGAACCTAGAATGTCAGGAACTGAAACCTTTTTCTAATTAAGCAACCTAAACTAAAACCTTCTCTTTGTGAACCTCCATACTGGATAATTGCGCACTTCTGCTTCTATATCTGTTGCTGCTTGGACTCTATTTCGCTCTGCTCTCTTCCTATTGCAAGAATATCAAAAATTAGGCACGGTTAGACTGGCCAGGTAAATTGTGGCTGCATATGTCAACTGAAATAAAATTGAATATTTAATATTACTTTGCTGTCAAGTTTCCTCTTCAATAGGGATCTAAAATCTATGCCATCAACACTGCTACTTCTTTTTCATCACATATATATGCATGAAAAGTAGCTAAGCTGTTCTACATATAAAAATCTAATATGGTTTCAGGCTACTTTCAAAATTAGTATGGTAGCAGCAAGAATTTAAATTTTAATGCAATGTACACTAAATAATGACCACTGTTTCAGCTAATATTGGCCATCTTAACAAAGATGACTATTGATGATTATCAATTTGCATAACTTTTTCTTGAGCCTGTGTCTATTAAAACAAAATACTGAAGTAGAAGTGAAGTACTTTAGTTTATTTCTATCATTATATTAACAAATTTATAAATTAATTGAAAAAATAAGTAGCAAATGATGTCACAAAAAAGAATTTTGAAAAAAAAAAATATCAGTGAATGTTATACAAGGGGTGTTTTTTACGTAAGGGCCGTTTGAAAAAAAAAACCAAATGAAAGAAAATTTTTGAAAACCAAATTTATTTTCAGATTCTACATACGAGGGCTATCCAGAAAGTAGATTACGTTTTGGAATAAAAAAATAAACAAAGTATAGGAAACAAATTTTATTACATACAGATGAAAGCCACACTCAAATACTACTTTTCTACATAGTCACCATACAAATTAAGGCATTTATCGTAGCGATGTACGAGCTTGGAAATTCCTTCGTCGAAAAATTCGGCCGCCTGCGCCTTCAACCACTTCGTTACCTCTTCTTGCAGCTGTGCGTCGTCATCAAAACGCTGCATAGCCAGCCACTTCTTCATTGCTGGAAATAGGTGGAAGTCGCTCGGTTGCCAGGTCGGGGACTGTACGGCGGAAACAACTCCCACTTAAAAGATTCAAGAACTTTACGAGTGACATTTGCCGTGTGGGGGCCGGGCGTTGTCGTGAATCAACAAGATCTTAGAGCTCAACATTCCTCTGCGCTTGTTTTGAATTGCTCTTCTGAGTTTTTGGAGAGTTTGGCAATACCTTTGAGAGTTTATTGTAGTGCCTCTTTCCAGGAAGTCCACCAAAATTACACCTTTTCTGTCCCAAAAAAAAACAGTCGCCATCATCTTCCTTGCCGACATTGTTTGCATGCATTTCTTGGGTTTTTGGGGAGAACTTGTGTGCCCCCACTGCATTGATTGCAATTTCGTTTCACAGTTCACATGTTTCACCCATGTTTCGTCACCAGTAAACGATGCGATCGAGTAAAGAGTCACCATCCTTATGGTAAGCGTCCAAAAAGTTCAACGCTGCAGCCATTCGCTGATTTTGTGGTCCTCTGTCAAGACTTTTGGAATCCATCTTGCACAAAACTTGTGGTAACCAAGCTTTTCGCTGATGATTTCGTGTGCAACAAACTTCGCGAAATTGTGGTGGAAAACTCAAAAAGAAAGTTCCGTTATTGTGAAATTTCGATTTTTCACGGACTTTAGCATCGACTTTTTCGAGAAGTTCGGCGGTCACTATGCTGGGTCTCCCACTTCGATCTTCGTCGTGAACATTGGTTCGGCCATTTTGAAATCTTATGACCCACTGACGCACTCCACCTTCAGTGATAATGTTGTCCCCCATACACTTCACGAAGCTGCCGATAGATTTCTATCGGTTTTACAGTTTGTTTTTTTGCAGTCAGAAAACCTTATTACTGAGCGCAGCTCGCGGGATTTTCAATTAACGCAGACATTTCAAACCGTCACAGTATCTGAACGGAGCACAGCACGAACCTCTCACTAGCACGGCTAGATGCAGACTGAGCTGCGCAACGCTCTGACCCCAAGATGGCCGCCCTAGCGGACACAGACGGAAACGTAATCTACTTCCTGGATGGCCCTCGTACATTACTCTATTTTTCAACATAGTTGCCAAATTTGTTTGAACACTTATCATACCTTAGAACTAGATTTTGAATACCCTCTTCACGGAAACTTGCCGCCTGTTTTGATAAACCTGAGGTCACGGCTGTTTTCACGTCCTAGACTAGACGCTTGAGGAAGTTCATTTGAAAAGAGTGCTAAGGATGAACGGTCTGTTCTTAAGAATTTTCGCCTCAACTGAAGCCACCATATTGTCTGTGATCACAGATAGGCAACAAGAGCTAGACTCATTAAATACATTGTCGCAGCCCACTTTGAAGTCCCCGACTCACTAACGCACTTTGCATTCACTCATGGCAGTCGCTCTAGAAACTTCACAAATCTGCCAGCGACTGTCTGCTGTAGACAGGTTCAGTCAAAAAAACGTATCACTGACCGAATCTCGCACGGGGCAGGCGATTCGATAGTCTTGAACCTTTTAAAGACACCAAACAGACCCTACAGGTTACCTACACAGCTGCAACTGAGCACAGTTGTTTCCAAAGATTCTGAGTCTCGCGTGGGCGGCAACGACGCAAACGCTCATAGCCGCTCACGTGAAATGTATTATTGTATATAACAAAACGGCCCTTCAAAAATATGCTACGTATTTTAAAATATGGAAACAGATCTTGCGTTTAAGTGGGCAGGCGAATTCTTATATTCTGTTTCGCAATTTCAAAAACAATGTTTATTAAAATATCCTTACAGTCTGCAAACTAATAATTTCAAGAATACTCACTGCGTATTAAAATAATTGCCTAATGAAATCGGCTTATTAGATTCTTTTATGATTAATCATTTTCTTTTCTTAGAGATAAAAAAAGAAATGAGTTGCCTTGGCACCACGTGAATGTTAATTTGTAATAAATTACCAGCTGCACAGACATAAAATTAAGAATGTGAAAAAACATAAAGAGTGCTGAATTATAATAGCCAGATTATTACACTTGAGCAAAAGATAATCAGTTATTTTGTACTTGCAAAGTAACTGTATATAGTATGTTGACAATTACAGTGTAATTGTAATTATAGCTTGTAATTAGTTATGAAAGTAATTGTTCCTTAAAGTAATATAACCTAGGAAAATCATGATCAATATTATAAATTACAGTAAAACTCGGTATCTGAGATGGTTCACCATTTTAGATAACAAGTTGTTAAAAACATAGAAATATTGCTGCTTGTAAAAAAAAAGTATTAGTATATTCCGTCTGCCTTATCCTGCACATGTATTACAGTTTCTAAATGGCATAAATTATGAATTAGTCCTCAGTCCTTTATTAACTAATATATATATTTTCAGTAAATATGTGAAAGAAACAAAATAAATTTATATAAATGTAGAAATATAATTAAAATTTAAAAGGACTAATTTTAGTTATATCATAGAAATAAATAAATATAACTTTGTTAAGGAAAGGCATATTTATGAT